TGCAAGTAATTGTTGCTGTAATCTAGGCTAATATTTGAAATAGAAAAACTCATAGAAGGACATGGATTCAGGCATCTGAATAGCTAAGCACTTATTCCTTTGATGATAAAAAGGGGGAAAAATATTATAGCTGAAGGCAATGGATATCAGCATAGGTGCAGGAGCTATATTGAATTCACTACTATGGAAAATAAGCTGAGTTTTAGGTGGAATACTTATATCATGGTATTAACCTATTCAGCAAGAAATTTGTATCATATATAACATTCAAATTGAAGAAATATAACAAGTTTTTCCTTGCAACATGCAGCTTCAAACAAGTTTAATGGTTTCTTTTCTTTTTGCAGTATTCGTTGTTTGGTTCTATCTTGACTTTTGGGGCAATGATTGGTGCAATTACATGTGGGCCTATTGCTGATATTTTTGGGCGTAAGGGGGTAAGCAAAAAGGAATGATTGGCTAATCTAAATTCTTTGGTTTCGCATAGATATCAACACATTTAAAATGTTCCTTGCAAAACATATGCAGGCAATGAGAATATCTTGTGCCTTTACTATTGCAGGGTGGCTTGCTATTTACTTTTCTAAGGTGTATATAACATCTTAATCCCTAGTTTCATCATTGCTCTGATACATCTTTTGCAGAAATATAGACTAACAATCTCTTCTCCCTCTTGATTGAAACAAAAGGGGCCTTTGCCATTGGATATTGGAAGATTGGCAACAGGATATGGAATGGGAGTCTTTTCCTATGTGGTATGTTTATACCTCATTTCATGCACTTCAGCTCTGAACCATTAAACAGTTACATTATAGAAAACATCTTACTAATTATTGTGATGCCAATGTTAAATTTATCACAAGGTCCCAGTTTTTATAGCTGAAATTGCACCCAAGGAGCTACGGGGAGCACTAACAGCTTTAAATCAGGTAAAATACTAAAATGTGCCCATCCTCTATGAATGCATAGCCAACCCAAAAAAGGTAAAATATTAAAATGTGGTCACAAAGCAGTGAGCTCCACATCCTATTTCCATATCATCTCAGTTTCTGAAATTATGAACATAATTTTTATGAAGTGGCACCAGATAGTTTACAATATAGACATGAGCATTTTCTCTTATCCTTGACCTACACATTAACATTAATTGCAAAAAATCAGAACAGATACAATCCTTGCTACATCTAATTGTATTTCTTCTTCTACAGCTTATGATTGTTGCTGGAGTTTCAGTTTCCTTTATTGTAGGGACAGTTCTAACATGGAGGGCTTTAGCATTAACAGGTATGGACTTTATCAATTAATTCATTCAAGCATCAAAGGAAAGAGAGAGAGAGAGAGAGAGAGAGAGAGAGAGAAGACACTACAATTGTTATTGCACCATGTTGCTCACTTGTGAGGTGCTTGCAGGACTCATTCCTTCTGTGATTCTGCTCGTTGGGCTCCTTTTTATTCCAGAGTCCCCAAGATGGCTGGTATATGAAATGGCACTGAAACCAAGAAAAGATTTGCTTTCTTTATTAATGAAAGTAATAATAAATTGATAATGAAACAATCTAACCATTATATGCAGGCAAAGACAGGGCGTGACAAGGAATTTGAAGCTGCACTACAGAAACTCCGTGGCAAGGATACTGATATATCAAATGAGGCAGCTGAAATTCAGGTTCTTAATCTAAAATATATTATTTCAATCCAAATTGACAATGCATCTGCATTGAAAAGAAAATGTATAAGAGGAATTTTTTTGGCATGCTTGACAGGACTATATAGAAACGCTTGAACAACTCCCAAAAGCCAAAATGCTGGATTTGTTTCAAAGAAGATACTCACGCTCAGTCATTGTAATTGTCTTTCTCTGTCTAAATCACTACTATAAATAATAATTAGTCTCCCACCTTATTGCAATTACATTCTTCGACCTTCATCAACTCTCCTTTGTTTTACATTCATTCCTAACCAGATAAGTGTTGGACTGATGATCTTCCAACAATTTGGAGGAATTAATGGAATATGCTTTTACGTCAGCAATACTTTTGAGTCAGCAGGTAAAAGAAATTAAATCAAAGTTACTATATGCATTTTCCCTTTGATAAGACATAGTTGGGAAGCAGGAATTTTTGCATTTCTAAAATAAATAGTCTGATTCCATTTTTTTGATGAAAAGATCACTCTCAGCTAGACTGTGTCTACAACTTCGTATGACCTTGACTTCTATTCTTTTAAGGAAACAAAGAATCCCATAACTATTATTTTCATTTTGTATTTGTTATGCTTCAGGGGTTTCTTCCAGCCTTGGGACTACAATCTATGCTATTTTACAGGTTTGTCTCTCACTTCCTTGGGAATCTAATTATTTCCTTCTCATAAGGATAAGCTTGAAATGATTGTTTTATCAGGTCCTAGTTACTGCACTCAACACAGTTGTGATTGATAGAGCAGGAAGAAAGCCCCTATTATTGGTAAGCTGTAAGGCAAATCACAATTAGGCCTTCATATTTCTCATTAAAGCCCTCTTAACTGATAGAAGGTCAATCCCATAATTTTCCTTTTCTTTAAGGTGTCTGCAACTGGATTGGTAATAGGCTGTCTACTGACAGGAACCTCATTTTACCTAAAGGTATGATTGCCAATTATCTGGTGTAACAATTTCTTAATTACCTTTCTTAATTACTAATACTTGGAAAACTTACTCAAACAGGAGCATGGACTTGCGTTTAACTCAGCTCCCATTCTTGCTGTCACTGGCATACTGGTAATCAATAGCTTTATAAAATTATACCATCCCATATCCACACAATATAGCAAAATACATCCTACCACATCACCTTTCACATTTTGTCCAAGACCAGGTATACATAGGATCATTTTCAGCAGGGATGGGTGCAGTTCCTTGGGTCGTAATGTCTGAGGTAACAGATTACAAAATTCCCAAGGATCAAATAATCACCACGACTTAACTGATCCTAACTTTACCTTGCAGGTATTCCCTATAAATATCAAAGGAGCAGGAGGAAGCCTAACAACACTAGTCAACTGGATCGGTGCATGGGCTGTTTCTTATACATTCAATTTCCTTCAAGAGTGGAGCTCCTATGGTAAATTGAGTTACTATTTCCATTTTCATCAATTTCATTGCAACAAAATAAACAGAAATAAACACAGACAATACAGAAATGCAAGCTAATTAATTAACTTCACTGAATGCTAAGATGACATGAACATACTGTAAGGGATGCAAATTTACCTAATTGTTTTGTGGCTTTCAGGAACCTTTGTCCTTTATGCTGCAACCAATGTACTGGCTATAGTATTTGTAATCACGGTGGTGCCTGAAACAAAGGGGAGAACCCTGGAGCAAATTCAAGCAGCCATGAATGCATAGAGAAACAACAAAAATTGAATAACAATAATTCCTTTTCTGGAAATTAAAATACATAGAGATGATTCCTTTTTTTTTTCTCTCTCTCTTTTTGTATTCCGAAATGGAAATGAAATTTCTTTACCTCAAATTGTATAGCAGTATGATTTTGTCAATGAAATTTACAACGATTTCACCTTAGAAAAACTGTGCTGCTTCCCTGGCGAGCTAAAACCGCCTCTGAGTCAGAAATCGGTGCACTTTGGGGCGGAGATAACGTACACCGCAGTAGTGTTGGCGGATTGAACGGAGCGTCTAGACCGGTGACGACGCGTAAAGCAGCGACGACGACGGGATGTAACCGGAGAGAGGTAGGGGATGGGAGAGGGTGAAATTGAAACAGCAGAAAACTAACGAATTAAACGGCGTCGTTTGAACCTTATCGATTTTTAAAAGATTAAAAAATCCTTGCCCAATCAAATCTAGCGGAAGTGGGGAGGAGGTTCCCGCCTAACGTCGCAGAAACCGTCACACGAATCGGCTCTGCGAATTCCTTATCCATTTCCCTAATTCGATCCATATATAAACGACCCAGATAAAATTTCTGAATTTTTTAAGAATAAAACTGTTGAATTTTGAGTTTCTCCGACGGTTATCTTGCCTCCTCTGAGTCCTCTCTTACTTCTTCCTCCGATTCAGAGGGAAAGATGTCCGCAGCTGACGACGGTGACCTTCCGAATATTGCGCCTTCTTCCTCTGGCGGATTGAACTCGGGTTTTGAAACCGTTTCTCCCGCCAGTGTTTTCCAGTCCGTTTCCCCTCGTTCAAGGAGGTCTGGCGACGGCGGTCTTGGAACCTATGCCGGTGTTCAGAGTTCTGCTCATGGCTGGGACTGTTCTCCAGTCTTTTCCGAAGGGAGAGAGCAGAACCTTGAAATGTTTAAGGAGACGAATCTTGGACACAATCGTTCTCCTAGGGTTGCCGGAAAGTCAATAGAGAGAATAACGAAGAACATTGACCACGGTGATCTCACGGTGGAATCATCAGATTCGTCAGGGCCACCATCGCCATCGAAAGTCAAAATAGAGCCGAAGGAACTCGTCCCATTCCTGACTTCTTTTCATCCCAACGGACAGCCAAAATTCAATCTTGTATCACGAAGGAGCAACGGACGGTTGACGAAATTCAAGGTGCCGGTCCCTATAGAGGAGCGAAGAACTGTTTTACAGAGCTACAGATCAGATGGTAAACTGAGTATATCGTTAGCAAAGTACAGTGATCAAGAAGAAGAAGAAGAAGAAGAAGAAGAAGAAGAAGAAGAAGAAGAACAGAGGAAAGAGGATACAAGTGGAAGCAGGGGAGAAGAGTGAAAGACTCTGATTTCCTTCATTCTCCGATTTCGGCAGAATGCAGACGGTAGAATTGCTTATCTCCGGTTTTTTTCTTTTATAATGTTAGGAATTAGATCGGAAAAGTTCTCTGATTCTTCTTCTTCTGCTATTTCTTTCAAATTTTTTAAATTGTGAATTTAGGTTGTGAATAACATGAATTTTTCTTTTGATTTCTTGGGAAATTGTAAATAACAATGGAAATTCCATTCTGGGTTCTAACCGGACCGGATATCGACGAAGCGATGAACTGGATGATGAGGTTATTTGGCGCAAAACACAGTTATCTTGTGCTTTTGGGTCGTAAGGGTAGCATAGCCCAGCACTCTCTCAATCACATTTCTTGGGTGTGGTTATGCCGCCAACAATAATATATATATATATATATATTTTTTTTTAACCAACGGTACGAGTGAAAGGAGTTTATTCCTTTGAAGTTATCAAATTTAAATCTTGTAAATAAAAAAATAAGTGTTGAAAATATTATGCATGAAGAAATAAGTGTTGAGAGAGTTTTACCCCTAATAGATCTGACACGACTCGATTTCAAATTAGCCGAGAACCAAAGTAATTATCAGATATTGAAAAATTAATACAAAAAAAATTTACTAACCTTTCGGTATTTGGTAACCATATTAAATTTCAACTAATTTGAAATCAAGTTACGTTGGATACCATTAGAGAAAAGCTATCCCAACACCTATTTAGAACCGAGATATTATTTAAAGAAAATTAAATTAATTTCATTTGAAACAACAAGTACTTGCTACCAACAATAATATTAAGGGCATGCATGGACTCGAAAAAATATGGTTAAAACCCTTTTTTGGTCCCTCAACTATTGTACGGACTCCTGATTTGGTCCATGAACTCAAAAAATCCTTGATTAAATCCTTGATTTGATCCTTACTGTTTACCATTTTTACCCCAATTTGGTCCTTCCGTTAAAAATTCAATGATGTATCCAGTTAACTAACGAAAAATGATGACATGTCAAAATATTATTAGAGATCAATACTATGCCATTAAAACACGTCAGATTTTAGCCAACAAAAAAAAATGTGGGGCCCACCTCCAGCAAAAACCATTATCTTCTCTCCTTTTTGCCATTCACACCCTAAACGGCAAACACCAACGGCCGCTGCTGGGTTCACAAGCTTTGGTTCTTTAAAGGAACCCAGGCGCGGGTTCGAGGGAACCCAGCGCCTGGGGTTCAAAGAATCCATTCGAAGAACCCACGCTTAGGTTCTTCGAAGGAACCCAGGCGCGGGTTCGAGGGAACCCAACGCCTGGGTTCAAAGAACCTAAGCGTGGGTTTGAAGAACCCAACAAGCTTGGGTTCTTCGAACCCGCGCCTGGGTTCGAACCCAAGCCTGGGTTTGAAGAACCCAGCAAGCTTGGGTTCTTTGAAGGAACCCAGGCTTGGGTTCTTCAACAAAAAAATAAATAAATAATTTCTGTATTTTTGTGGGTTTTGTTTGATGATAATGATGAGTTGATTGATGAAGTTTTTGTGGGTGTTGTTTGATGATGATGATGAATTGATTGATGAAGAAGGAAAGGAAGAGGAAGGAGAAAGGGAACGAGGAGTGCCCAGCTGGGTTTGAAGGATCCCATCGCCTGAGTTCGACGATCCCAGGCTCTAGGTCCAGGAAATGAAGAGGAAGGAGAAAGGGGACGAGGAAGGAGAAATAATTTTTAAAATTTTTATTGCCATGTCACAAGTTTTTGCCATGTTGTCTTTCACGTGGAGTAAAATTTTGACATGTCATCATCTTACCGTGAATTAACAGTACAGGTGGAGAGATGTTTAATGGAATGACCAAATTTGGGTAAAAACGGTAAACAGTATGGACTAAGTCAGGGATTTTTTTAGTTCAGGGACCAAATCGGGGGTCCGTACAATAATTGAGGGATCAAAAAGGGGGTTTAACCAAAAAATATTGGTGCTGTTTAATTAAACTTTAAAAAATAATTGATATAATAATTAATAATTATTAATTTAATAGATTAAAATTAATGTATAAACTACTATTTTTAAATAAAAAATTTTTTACTTGTTTTTTTAATAACATAATAAATATGACTTTTCATTAATTATTATAAAATTAATGCCAATTTTTATATTTTTTATATACATTTATGAAAAAAAAACACTTTTTTAACATATGTTTTTAAAATATAAATTAAAAAATTTCTTTGAAATGTGATAAAATTATTATAAATTAATAAATCTTTAATAAAAATAAACAAAATTTGCCTAATCTTAAAGTTATTGTTTATAGCATGACCACACCCATATATATATATATATATATTTTTATTTTGGTTTCCATCCAGTATCTCGGACTTCGCCCGATTAATCTGGATTGAACCACGTCGCGCACCTGAAAATGGTGAATGAGTCTCCCAACAAAGATTGTTGTGTACACAATGTCTCAAACAAACCGCTTACTACTTGATCCAATTCCTCTAGTATGACCACACCCGTATTGGTGCGATGAATTCCATGTTTTAAAGGGGGTGGTGAAATCGACAGAATTCCAACATGATCCTGAAGTGATGGTTAAGACTTTAAGAGTTAAGTTAAGACTTCCTTGTTTTGACCAATATTGTGTTTCTCAATACTCAATTGTCATTTTCTTTGCATTAGAGCTAAGCTACTCCAACCCACAACTAACAGGAGTCAACAAACAGTTGGCATCTTTGTTATTTGTTCAATGTTTCCCACATTTCCCTATGATTAATTAATCTTCTATTTTGTGTAGTCAATTTTCGTTTTGTTCCTAGAGATTCAAAGATTTGATTCACAAAACCAAATACAAATACTAAATAATAATAATAATAATAATAATAATAATAATAATAATAATAATAATAAAGAGAAAGTCTCACATGGTTGATAGTCAACCGTTTTTAGATTTTTTTTTTTATTTACAAAATTATGGATATACAAATTACAAAGGCATCTTCAAAATCATCTCTCTTACACTAACAAAGCCAATATTAACTAATTAAAGTTAATAAATTATGAATAAAGTGCATATTAGTTCTGATTTTAAAAAAATTAAAATCTTAATATTAAACAATATTGTTTCATTTAATTAAAATTTAATTTAAAATTCAAAATTTTATCTTATTAAATGTTAATACTTGAATTTAAAAACTAATTATACATTATAATATAATCAGTTTTGAAATTTACACATTAACATTTAATAAGATAGGTTTTTTATTTTTGAATGTAAAAATTAGTATTTAATAAGATAAATTTTTAAATTTTAAATTAAATTTTAATTAAATGAAATCACATCATTTAATATTAAAACTCTAATTATTTTAAAATCAAAACTAATATGCACTATACTCATAAATTATTTATAGTATACATAGATATAAAAAGGGGTAAAAAGGAAGTCAACCTCTCATGACTGTGCTTTCCATATGCCTTTTGTTGAAGAGCTATTATTTGTTATCTTTACAACTTTCTGTTTGGCTTGCCGTCTCTTTCTGCTGACATTTTCTCCAGCGCTCCCATTTGATTTTATTACAACATCAACCTTCACTATATGGTGATCAGAAGTCCCTTTTGAAGAGAAAACTGAGTATGATCCTGGGACAAATTTGAATGGTGAGTTTGGAGACGTCAAGATGTAATCTACCCGAGTTCCATACTTGCAAGTACCCTGGACGCCTGCAATTTCAACGCACCCAAAGCTCAATCAGTTTAATTAATCTAAGCTAACGCGTACTTTATTTGGATAATTTTGCATTTTTGTCCTTTGTTAATTACTTACTCTGGCCTTTGGCAATCACAACTACTGCCTCACATTCCCCTGCAAAGTCCTTTGCGTCTGTGTACTGTTTGCTCTTCAAAAACTTCATTACTTCAACCTTTGGAGTAGGCTTTCCCATCTCCTCATAGTACTACAAAAATTAAGCAGACAGTCTTGATTAAAACAAATTAAGAAACAGTAATTATTAATGTTTCCCAATGTAAAACAATTTCTGGGATGTACCTTTACAATGTCTGTCCACCTCTCCATGGAATAATCTGTTTCATCCAGTGAATTTAGGCCTCCGGCCAAAATATGTGGACCATCATCACCTTGGATTATTGCATTTATCTGTTTCATTCGCCAGTTTTCGTCAAGATGATCAAGATGAGTGCAATGGAAGTTTACTTCACCTGCCCCAGGCACGTCAACCGTGGCCTTGAGAACATTCCTGCATAATCCCAACATCCATTAGACATCAGTTTCTTCTTCACTTGGAAACACAGAAAGTGGGACTCTTGATGACAAAATCGCAACAACTTTCTGATCGCAACATGTTGTTTTACAGCGAAATGGCGTTAGGCGTTCGGTGCTGATAACAAAATTTTCCAATGGGAAGTCATTTTCTGATGCAAACGCAAAATTAAATTCACATTCCTCATTCCACACAATCATGCCTATGTTTAATAATTTTGGCCTACCTATATATTACAGAGAGAGTAATCTACATCTTACCTAACTTTAATTGGAGTACTCAAAGTTAATAATGGTTTTCTAGTTTCTACCAAAAATAAAGCAAGAAAATGGTTTTTTTGGAAAGGCCATATCTTCTTCAATTTTAATAATGGCAACTACCATGGATTATTCAGTAGGGGAAGGAAACATGACAGGAAAAAAAAAAGGCTATTAAGTATTCTGCAATTCTGCATGGTATGAAAATGGAAAACCATAGAAATTCATGGAAATTTATTGACTTATGAAAGAGAAAAAAAATAAAAAAATAAACCTAAGAACTTTAAAAGAAAGATTAAAAAAGGTGGAACTTCAGATTCTATCTCAAATTCTCAATGCGTACAGCTGTTGTGACATCCACCGACCACTACTGTACCCTCATAATTCCAAAAAGAAATGTGAAAAGCGAAAATTAAAATGTCATGATTTTTAAAATATTAAAGATTATTATGAAATTATATAAATATTTTAATAATTTTTTATTTATTATAATTTATCAAAAAAAATTATATTTTTTATATTTTTTGATACTTTAATTACTAAAATATTTTATATTTTACAAGCCCAAAACAAACTATTGGGATTCTAAGGATTAATTTGGGAATGGGATTGGCCAAAAAAATTTTGGAATTAGGAAAATTCTTACTTAGCCCATTCAGCATAGACTTTTACAAGAAGGGTTAATCATGAACTCATACAAAAAATTTTAAAAATTTGATAGCAATTATGAAATTCAGAAACTTACAAGAAAAATATCAACAGGTTTGAAGCCTCAGCATCTAAATAAATTTTTTTTTTTTAGATCAGAAGATCTTAAAAAAAAAAAAAATTAAATGGCATCAAAGGGATTACAAACAGATTCAATGTGGGATTTCTTCTGTACTTTTTTGAATGAGTATATTTTTTTTTAATTAAGTGGATGTACTATGTTTGACAAATTAATTAGTTTTTGAATAAATGAAAAAGTTATCAGATTTACTATTTAGGTTATATCATATTATAAGACAAAAAGTATTGATGGCAGAAGAAAACTTTAATCTTAAGGGTTTTATTTTTATTTAATATTTAAAATCATATAATTTATAATGATTTAAATTATAATAATTTAAAATTATAATATACAATAATATAAATATGGTTCTTAAAATTATAAATCATAATCTTACCTAAACAAATTAAATATATAATAATATTAATATATCATATTATATACTTATAATACGACAACATATTAGATTATACAATACATTTTCGTAAATAAAATTAACGTAAGAAGACAAGTTTAATTTTTCTTATGCAGAACAATTATGAAAAAAAAAGGGCAAAAAAAAAAAAAAACAATTAACAAAAAGTAAAAGAAAAAAAAAAATCATAGGACTGCTGGAAATTCTGAATTGAACGAGATGAAAAAACTCACCGGAAATCAGTGTCGTCGAAAATCTTCTGCACTTTCCACTGCTTGATCGGCCACTTGGACAGTATGGCGTTGCCGTACTCCGGCGCCCAACTCTCGGCGAAGACGTAGTTCATCCCCAGGGCTGCAGCCAAATCGGAGAGTGGCTTCATGGCTTTCTCTTCCTCCGCCTTCACATCTTGCAGCGCCAATATATCGGCATCCAACTCTCTCAACACTTCCAGAATCGTCTTCCTGCTTGTGAAGCCGCCGCCGACGCCATTAACGCCGGTTACCGAACTCCCTGAAAAACTCACCGTCGATCTCAGAGGAGCTTTTCCCTTCAAAATCCTACTTACAGAACTACTCCGGTAGTCCTTTTCATCTTCCGTAGAGCTCAATCGTCGGTTCCGGAGTAAAGAGATTTCGTTATCCGGTAAATTGATCGATACCCGTAACTTCGATTTTGCAAATTTCTGCTGTCTGGATAGATTTTCTGTGCCATTCATGGAATTTGAGTGCAGTGGAGACTGCTTCAGTATACTCCTCGGGCGATCATTCGTCGATTTGGCCCTCAGATTGACATCAAGAGAGCTTCTTCCATTACCGAAACCATCATTTTCATAGTCAAAGGTAGAAGAATTCTCAATCTTGGGCACTGCAGGTGCCATGGAAAACAGGGCAGCATTAAAAGTGGCTATCCTTATTGACTTCTCCGATTTCTGACCACACAATTCACCATTATGCTGACCCATTGAAGACCCATTAACGAGAGGAGTGGAAGTGGATTTCCCTAACTTCCTTATCACAACTCTTACCTTGGAGCGGCGGCGGCGGCGGATTGGCCACCGTAGACGGCTGCAGAGGCGGCGGAGCCTCTTGTTGAGGAGCCTGAGCATGGCTGAGAAATGGGTATCGATCAGAATTGGGTCTAAACCTTTTGATGACTGCATGAGAAGAACTGGAAGCGCTGTTTTTGCTGTGTTTAAGGCTTTTTGTTAGGGGGATGTTTTTGTCTTTGGCAGAGAAGGGAGAGGAGTTTTGAATGACTAAAATTTGGGGTTCGGTTAAGAGGTGGAAGAAATAAAAGAAGATTTCTGGGAATTGGGTAGGTGACACGTGGCAGAGAGAGAGTTTCGAAGTCCCCAACTGCCCCACTGCCAGCGAAATAAGATGG